CATAGGTGGTCACGGCAGTGCCCCTCCCCCCCTTTCATAGGTAAATGCATCAGAGAAAAGACAGGTCACCAAGTAGACTGTACAGTCTGGCAGGGCTGTGTATAAACAGCAACCACATATGTATTTTTCTTGGCCTTTTCAACATTTCACTGGAGATTACTTAGAAAAATCACAGTTTATTCAAAGTTAAAGAAAGCCAAAAAGCCACATGTAGCTGGAATGTATAATTTATTGGTGTGCAAGACAAACAAAATAGTTACTTCCTACAAAAATAGATTGCATGGCAGCAAGATCACTGGAAAGCACAAGAACCCAATAAAAAGCACCCAACATCAGGGCAGTTAACACCACATTTAACAGTATAAAAACAGTAATCCTAAAATAATTCAATAAGATCAAAATACCTTAAAAAACATTATAAAAAAACAAACAGTTTGGCCATTTTCCATTTCTACACACAGACTGTACAGGATGGGGAATAAGGCAGTAAAATTTATAACTTATAAAATTATTTCCTGTAGAATCAGCTAAAATGAACATGTGCAGATTGGACATTATATGGCCGCAACGATTTCAAAGTCTGGAGAAAAAGTACTGGGTCTTCCATCTCCGATGACTTCAGATTAGTGTTTTCACAATGGAGGTGCAGTGTCAGTAGGCATCTCATTCTGCTTCACAGGAATAAAAAGAAACCGGATTAGAAATGGCAAAAGCATCCTAATCCTCTCACACATAAAATAGAACAGACTATAAAGGATTACTGGTAAAACACAGTCCACATACAGTATAGGCATTTCAACTGTGTACTCAGTGGTCTGCCTAGGGTGTCTCTAAACTATACTAGTCATTAGATTTAAGAGACAAAGCAAATCTAAACTCCCAACTAGTAGATTAAGTTCTAGTCACACTAGTGTCCTGTGGTAATGAATGCTACATGCGTTGAGGCACCATTCATTCTGAATTGTATCATAATGAACCTGCGTCACGCATCAAATGTTCAGTGTGCTTTGGTGCCCTGGCAAAATGCGCTCCTTTTGTCATTTATTTGTGTGGTGAAGCCAGGACCCTCCATTATCTTCTCCCAGATCTTTGGATGCAGTGTACTCATGGTTAACACTTCACTGCCCAGTCACTCAGAGATCGTAAAACATGGCCTGAGACTGACTGTGCAAAATAAAAAACAAAAAACAACAAAAAAAACTCCAAGATACATGCAGAGCTTCACATGGTCTCTTTAAAAATGTTGCATGTGTAAAAGAAAACCTGGGATCCTGTCTGAAATCCAGTGAGTGCCTAAGCTCAAAACACTGTCTTTGCTGCAATGAAATACAACAGTAACAGTCAGTCCTGCCTCCCAGAACAGCTTCCCCTCTTCTCATGACCATATAACAAGGGTAAGCCGTTTTGTAGTCCAGCGGGGGAGAACTTGGGGAGGAAGGACAACAATGCTTGGGATTTCAATGCAGCAAAGGCAGGTTAGGACCTAACTGGATTTCTGGCAGGATCACCAGGACAAAAGATAGGGAAATGTGCATTTTTTTAAAAACTCAAAACATATGCTATAAATGTGTTCCCACCTTTGAAACTATGGGACTGTGCATCTACCTGATGTGCCAGACTCCCTGTACATAATTTAATGAAGATCTAGATGAAAGAGAGCCTTGTGCCAGTACCACATATAACATTCTGAACACACTAATCAAGATACTTCACCTGCTCCATTACTGAGACGGCTTCCTACAGTGATGTGCCGGGAGTTTCTCTCACCAAAACTTCTGTACAACGAGAAACAACTAGTGTGAAGATCAGTAGAGCAAGTCACAAAAGGTCAAAGAAAAAAAAAAAATCAAAGAAACAGTGGGGAGACTATCAAAACTGGAGCAGACAGAATCTGGAGCAGTTCCCCATGGCTGCCGATCAGCTTTTCTCTCCAGTTTGTTCAGTTAAGCTTTGAAAAATGGTAGAGAGAAGCTGATTGGTTACTACGAGCAGCCACTTTAGATTCTGTCTGCTCCAGTTTTGATGAATTCCCCTCACTGTGTTCAGGAAGCTCCTATCCAGCACTTCCAGCTGCCACTGTCTGTACAGACTCTGCCTACTTACGTTCTTGAACCTTCTAGAGTACTCTGGATCTCCTTTAGCATCCCTGCAAAGAGAACAAAGTCAGTGTAGACACTTCTGGAACTACTTGGCTTGCATTATAAACATCTACTGCAAATCTTGCCGTCAGACAAATGGTTAGCAACAAGGGGTCACCCCTGGACCTCTCACAGCCAAGGTGCACCAGTGTATGTGATAATATAGTAATTGTGCACAGCCACAAAAGTAACAGACCACCCCAATGCAAACTCATCCAATCACAATATATTACATAGTCAGGTTTAAAAAAAAAAAAAAAAAAGAAGAAGGACAGGTCCATCGAGCCCATCAATATTCACCTACATGATCTCCTATTTGTAATAGTGGCCTCCCTGAGAACCTGCAGAGCTGCTGGGAAGGAAGCAAGGAAGGAAGGAAGTAGGTGGGGGGCGCTAGTATTTGCTTCTAGTGGTAAAATGCTGATGTTTCTCTTAGGGAACAAAAATACCCCACATTTAAGTGCATGGACAGCCAAAACCATTTCTTTGTTGTTGTTTTTTAAGTAGTGCAGAGGAGGATTAGAATTTGTTTTTGTTTTTTATTGCTGTGTGTCCCCGCTAGGTGGATTTACTTTCTCTATTTGTTCCAGTGACACAAGAGACAGAGTACAGTGGTAACTCAGTTCGCAAACAATTTGGTTCACAAACACAAAAGTTCAGCAAAATTTTGCTTCCGCTCACGAACTCTGCATCAGGTGACGAACACAACCGCAGCCATCTTCCCTGCTCTGACATGTTCGTGGCTTCCTCTAGTAGAGATCGCGGTCTGATCAAAGTTTGAATCGGTTTGCGACCAGAATCGTGGAACGAATTACGTTCGTGAACAGAGGTACCACTGTATTGGGAAAACGAAAATTTTGCAGCCGTCACCAGAAGAGGAGGTGAAGGGAAATCTTTCATTCTACATGCAACTAAATTTTGGTGCTCTTCTTTGAACACATGGCTGGGTATGTTGGGTAGTTTCTGGTGATTACATCCACTAAGAATCTGATGTAAAGTAGCCGTAATTGATTGCCACGTGTATGGACAGCCTAAAACGAGGAGCTTTTAACCACCATTTTAAATGAGAATGAGAATGAGAGAGAGAGACAGAGGGAGAGAGAGACAGAGGGAGAGAGAGAGAGAGAGGGAGAGAGGGAGAGAGGGAGAGAGGGAGAGAGGGAGAGAAGGGAGAGAGAGACACAGAGGGAGAGAGAGACACAGAGGGAGAGAGAGACACAGAGGGAGAGAGAGACACAGAGGGAGAGAGAGGGAGATATTAGAGGTATAAGTGAAGTGGGACTAAATGTAACTGGGAAAATGAGAAAGAGAGACAATAAAACCTATAATGAGAAAGACTGGCCGGGTGTTTTGGGAAGATTCTTTAAAAATATAGCCCCAAGCTGAAAAATGGACAGTAGAAACAGAGAACTAATGAGAAACTTCGAGCAATGTTCAAAAAACGAACATGGCCCTTAAAATCAAGGTAAAAAGATTACATTTCCTGGATGGGTAGTAAAAATTGATTAAATAAACTTCAAGTAGGGACCTTAGGGCCAAATACAAAGAAGGCTTAAAGGAGGGCAAAGCACTACAGGAATTGCAGCACCTTGGAACAAGCAACCAATTCTGCCAGACTTTAAAGTGACACTAAACTCAGAGTTAAATCTTATAAATTCATTCAAGGACCTTAACTATAAACAAAAATGTACCTTAGTGTGTGTATCCTTCAGCTGTAGTTTCTCAAATCATCTGTGAATTCATGCTGACACTGTCCTCCCTTCTGGAGGGTGGCTACTTGTGTTCCCCATGGTCCCTGTGTGTGTAGTAAAGTAGACACCGCTCCAAGCTCACCCCCCGGATGGACTACAATCTCAGGTTTAGTTTAGTCATTTGTATTGAGCTTGTAGTCCATCACTGGAGTGAGCTTGGAGTGATGACTACTTTTAAAACACACAACACACAGGGTACTGAATGTATTTTTAAGGTTTAACTCCTGATTTTAGTGTCACTTTAATGATTAGCGATTGCCATAGAAAGCCTTCCCACAACAGTAAGGTCAGCTAGTGTAGAGCCTACATAAGGAAGAGCTCTAACCATCAGACCTCAAGCAGACCTAGACATCCTGCAATTGATACACGGGTCCTGGACACCTACAGTTCTGTCATGCGGTATAAAGAAGATACTTACTCTCATCATTCAGCAATGCATGTTCCATCAGTGGTCCTCTGGCCCTGTGTGCTGACAAAGAGAAAATGGATTTACTTCCTGAGCTTAACATAGGAGCATACAAATACAGAAAGAGTGCACACTAAAGAAAATAAGAGTTCAGTTTATTAATACTATTTTCATACACTTTACAAAATGAAATGTATCTACTGTATTACATAGCTTTTATAGCAGACATATCACATGTCAGCAATACATCTAGATTATGAAACAGTGAACATTTCTCTTAAAGTGACACTCAGGAGTTAAATCTTAAAAATACATTCAAGTACCTTAACTATTAATAAATATGCATCTTATTTGTGTATCACTCGGCTGTAGATCCTCAAATCATCTCTGAATTGGTGCAGACACTGAAGGGTGGCTTAGGGTTAGCCACCGCTCCAAGCTCACTCCCGTGATGGACTACAATCTTAATACAAAATTAGTAAACTGAACATGAAATTGTAGTCCATCACAGGTGCGAGCTTGGAGTGGTGACTAACACACACACACACTCCCTCTCCAGAAGGACGGACAGTGTCACCAGCAATTCAGATATGATTTCAATATCTACAGCCGAGTGATACACAAATAATGTGCAAAGCAGGGATAAATGTAGAAAACAAATTACCGCCCGCTGCATGTTCCGGGCGTGGGGAGACTCTAAACCTGTGCCTCCCCGAGGCCGGGCCTCTGTGGCCTTGTCGGGAATCTGGCCCTGCCCACACTCCTCTCCCGTACATACTGCCCCCTATCATACCCTCCTCTCGCCCCTCCTGCATATGCCGCCTGCTGTCATACCCTCTGTACTCCTCTCCTGCACATACTGCCCCCTGCCATACCCTCCTCACCTGCATATGCCGCCTGCTGTCATACCCTCTGTACTCCTCTCCTGCACCTACTGCCCCCTGTCATACCTTCCTCACTCCTCTCCTGTACATCCTACCCTGTCATACACTGCTCTTTAGCATTGTTCATCACATCCCCACCATTTCCTGTTCTGGAATGGGCACACTTTGCTTATAAGTATAAAAAGCTTACGGTTTTTGAGGCAGGTAAAAAAAAAGATTCAACTCTTTCAAAAGACAGAACCCTACATGTACACTGAGTCCAGGACTGTCTAGGATTTATTTCATGCCATTTTTTTCCCCCTCTCTGTGGAGACACTGTTGACACTGTCTAGGTCCATTTAATATGGGAAATGCAATAAAGCTGGTTGTAGGCAGAAGACATTTGAACTGCTGTGTGGACTCTCGCTTCCCCAATACAAAAAACCCCATTTGAAGCGGCCTACCCCAAGAAACAAGGCTGGTATAGTGTGCACACAGACAAACTGCATTCACTAGTGAAACAGAAGTGTATCAGTAATCTAAATGTAAATAAAAAATAAAAAAAACTGTAGTCCCTACACACTGTAGTTTTCTTACCATCTGCATCTCCATCTCCCCTTCCAGATACCCTGTAGAAACAAATGAACACTTGCTTATTATACCAACATTTGATTTCCTTATATGATTAAATCATCAGCTCAGCATCTGCTTAATCGCTCACCTGGATTTTTCATTTTGTTTGTCTGTACTGCTGCCTCTTTGAAGCCTTCCATTACACGGGGGCTCTGGAGGGTCTACCCTGCAGCGAGGAGCAATGAGCCAGCATGTAGACAGGGAAAACCGCTCCATTTCAGATGGAGATATAAGATAAAAACCTGAAAATGAAAAGATATGCGATTGTTAAGAAAAAACAAACAATGAGCCAGGTATAGCTGCAGAGCAAAAATATAGAAAAATAAAATAAAATCACTCCATTACTATAAAATGACAAAATACAGTATAAGAGGGAAGGGATTTCCTAAGCAATTATCTTTCTAAAAGGCATTTACAGGCCAAATTCTGTCAAAGCTTGTCACCCTGTCGCATGAACTTCAAAAAGGAAACTAGGAGTGGGTGTTCCAACACATTACAGAAAATCTGTGACACTTTTGTCACCATTAGGAAACCCCCCCTGAGAACAACATGCAGTCATTGCTGAAACGTATGCAGCCACTTCCTGTCTAAAAGGATGCTGCAGCAGCACTAACATTTAACAAAGGACAAAAAAAAGGTGAAAACAAGTATTTCCCAAAAGGAAACAAAAAATATTACATTAGGCCTGATTCACACGTAGGCGACAAGTGTTTTCGTGCACAGAAACACAAATTTTTACAAGGATAAAAACACACGTGCATTAAGTTGTGCGTTTTTATGAACAGATTGTAAGCAGTCCATAAACCCATCGCATTCCTGACCGTCTCCTGCTTGATGAGTGCAGCGGTGACCACCAAGTGGCGCCATATCAGAACACATAGGACACCGGCACTCAAAAATCACTAAAGAACACGTCCTTCATTGTTGCTTTTGCATATTATCACATAGCGACAATGTTTCGGGGTCATGTGGGATCCCCTTCATCAGGCAAAACTATGTGAAGCAAAACCACTTATGAGCAGATTGTGACAGTAATGTGAAATGAAAATGCAGAGAAATGTGCAAAAAAATTTTCAGCGCATGTTTCTTAGTGTTTCCTATTGACTTAATGGGGACAACACGAGCTGTAATCTGCCAAAAAGAACCTCATGTACTTTTTCCAGTGACCGGCGTTTTGCTTATTGCGAAAAAATGCTCAATTGTGCACAGGGGCCATAAAAATAAATGGGATTTTTTTGTTTTGTGCAGCATTAGGACGCGCTTATTCAGCTGCGACAATATGCTTAGTGTGAACCAGGCCTTGGGCTCTACATCTACTTTGACTGCATCATTCCTTTTACAGCTTAAAAAGTTTTACATTCAGTTTAACTCTTTAACCAGTTGACATCCGCAGTGTTAAACCCCCTTCCCATCCAGGCCATTTTTCAGTATTCAGCGCTGCGGTACTTTGACTGACATTTATTCCGTCATGCAGCGCTGTACTGAAATGAATTTTATACCCTTTTTTGGGGACAGATAGAGCTTTCTTTTGTTGGTATTTATTTTTTTACTATATTAAGGAAAAATTACCGAAATTTTAAAAAAACCAAACAGTTTCCCCTATATTATATGATAAAACATTACCCCCCAATTTTTTGGTAAAATATAAAAGATGGGGTCACGTCGGGTAAAAAGACACATAAATAAGCTTCCAGATACTCAGTTTGCAAAGCACGCTGGGGACCAATAGGAACGTCAAGAATTGCCCGGGCACTTGCTGACTCCTTATGCAGGCTGAAAGTCACAACTGTCCTGCCTTTGCTGGCAACAGGGATGCCCTCATCTGAACCTATTCAGCTGTTATATGAACTCCTGATTTTCAGTTTCTTCACAACATAGGAAAAAAAAATCAGCTTTGGAAACTGTATGCTCTCTCCCCACCATCTGGCGATAACTGATACATAGCGAATACTGATAAATATTTCCTATTACCAGCCTAAAGATTGTACAATGGGGTATTTGGACTCCTTAAAATACTTTTCTTGAAGTCTAATGAGAGACACAGGAATTCATATACAGCTGGGTTATACTTCCATCTACAGGAGGATAGGAAACTGGCAAACAAAATTTGTAAGCCATCCCCAAGATAACCCCCTCCTCAATACATCATGCCTAACTTTGTAGCAAGCAGTAGCAACAGAATGAACATAAACACAGGGGTGGGACCCGTGTCCCTTAATGGACTCCAAGAAAAGGTATAAGAGATGGTGAGCACAAAAATTCTATTTGCTCTCTAGTCCATTGAGAGACACAGGCTTTTAGAAGCAGTCAGGAAGTACCAAAGCAGTCCAAATGAGGGGTTGGCAACACAGCAATAACCTCTAAAAAGCTAAAAGAAACTATAGGTCTGTCTACCAAAAGCCTCCTGTAGGACCAATGTTCAGATCTGAACACACTACCAGAAAGGGCACATGTCACAACGAAATCTGCCTAAAGATCAAGGCCTAGACAGAAGGTCATCACCACAAAGGAAATTACTCCATGTGAAAGAATAGGAGGGGAAGTTCGACCCTAGCGCCAGACCGGTGAGAAGCAAATTAATCCTCTCTGGCAAATCAGAGGTGTCGCCGAGGCCTTACAGAAGAATCCTGATGAACCTGCATATTCCCGATCACCAACTATGGGTCTAAGCTCCTGATCCCCCACATCTAGCAAAGCACTTAGTGCCATCAAGGGAGAGACAGGAATCTTAATAGTACAGTAAAGAGCATTTGCCTGATTAAGGGAAGAACAAGGGAAGGCCTCCGTAGGACCTTCCTCAAAAGACTACGGATTAGCCAAAAGGAGCCAACACAGGATGGTAGGCAGAACCCACTAGCTCAAACTAGGATTTAAAGGAGAGATTACAGCTGCCGGTTAGTAGAATGCTGAAAGATAAGCGCACCTTCTACCGGTCTACCCATTTTCCTGTTAAGGTGGGTCCATGTTAGAACCACCTTGGGCACAGAACACCATTTAACTAATTCCTTCTCAAAGGGGAACAGTTCCAACACACTCTCAGATGTAGCCCAGGCCACTGCAGGGTACTTCCAGTCTGCATAGAGGAATACCTCAAACATCGGCTGTAGTGGAAAATCAGTAAATAGCAGTAAACTGCAGAGGTAGACTGTTGGGATTCTTAATCTGAGTCAGAGACAGAGAAACAAGTGGCCCAGCCAGTGCTAAGGCCCTAGGAAGGTCAGAGACAGGCTGTGCAGAATATGGTGCTCGAGCAAAGAGCGAGCCTCTGTGGCCACAAGGAATTTTGGTGAATCTGTCATAGTCCTTAGTTGCCATGGAGGCCCCTGACGACTGGGAAGGGAACTCTGTCTCATCCAGTATAGCTTAAGGAAACTTCAATAATGCAGTCCATATAACTAAAGAGTCACCGAAATCTCGGATTACAAGTGTTGGTTCCCTCAGAGGATATTGCAGAAATGCACCTGGAACAGTATGGAAAGTATAGGCTGGGGTCACCCGTAGCAGTGAGACTGTCCCCTTTGTGTCTGTGTGTAGACATGTTGCACCCATATAGCAGTATTCAACTAGGCCCAAAGTGTGAGGCAAAGCCTCAAATAATCACAAGCCCAGGCAGGTGGTGTTAATGTGGGTCAGACACCCGGAGGTGAAGAGATAACGTTAGTAGGGCAGTAGAGACAGATAAGAGTTTTTGGGTTTTTGTTTTGGTTTTTTTAAGTCAGGCAAAGGAAATGTCGATGTAGATAGCTCCTGCTACACAGAAACCAGCCAAGCGATGTTGTGAGTGACCTTGACTGATGATGGAAGAAGATGGAAGAAGATGGAAGAATCCAAAAGGACACAAAAAAGGTAAAGCTTGGTTAGAATTTTCTCAGCGAAGCTAAAGAAAAGAGGTCTATCCTCCAAGGACAAGGGGTGAGAAAAACACACTATACTTCCCCTTCATGTACTACAGATGTTAGACATCTATGATGAACAATTTTTTTTTACATCGTAGCTTTAAGGCCTTGTTCACACCAAATGCAGAGCAGATCCGGTCAGGTTTCTGCACACACACGCTAGTCTTTAAGATGCGTTTTTGACGCGTTTATGGCTAAAAAAAAAATGTATTAATTTTTTTAGTTCAACATGGGCTTTCAGTGCGTTTCAGGCATTTGCATGCGTTTTTGATGCCTTAGCAGATCCAGAGCAGGTAAAATAGGGCCTGCTGCAGTTTTTTTTACCTGCAATGGACCTGCTCTGGATCTGCACGCTGCGATGTGAACTGGAGCAAAGAATACCATTGCAATACATTGGAAGCAGTTTTGATCCGGTCTGCAACTGATCTGCTCTGGATCTGCTCCGCGCTTGATGTGACCTAGCCCTAAGAGTGACAAAACAACATATACAAAGCTCTACAAAATACAATTACAGAGAAGTTGGGTGAAACTTAGCACTCACCCTGTCCAAACTTTGTAAATACACAGGATGCAATGCCGCTGACATCTTCCTTCCGGATACAGTCATACCGCACTTGAGATTTGAGGTGGGGCAGCGATATTACCTGGATATCTCCTAGATTAGTGAGGACAGTCATATGATTCTCATTGTGATCTTCCGACCGACAGCTGCCAAAATTGCACACTGCTGCCTTGCGCACCCGGCAGCCTTCTGTCGCTGTCAGTTTCAGCTTCAGTTTGCTGCTAACTTTGGGCAAGGTAAACACCTGTAAAAGGTATGTGTGAAAACTAGAATTACACAAAGCACCATAATAAACCTAATAGAGTCAAAGCAAAGCGAGAAATTTATATGGAACAAGCACTGCTAAAATAATTAAAATCGATTTGCTTATCGAACACATTTATTTTTTCTTTGAGGACTTGCAGTTTCATCTGAATGTGAAAAAAAAGCATTAAAGATAAAACATTGTATATTTATATTAAAAAGAAAAAAAAATGGACGGCCATAGTTTCAACTAACTCCCCAGGCCTGCCATTTATGCTATACCTTCTCATACTTCCTGCAGGCAACCCAGACCAGGGAAAATTCCCTACTGTAGATTGCACACTGCTCCCCCAAGCCTGCAAGAGTACACGGTGCTGTGTTTATAGGGCTTATCCTCCATAGGCCTGCAGGTAGATGGCTTTTCCATATGGGCGTATGGAACAAAGCCTGTGAAGGTTGTGTACTGCTGAGACCTGCTGGTTCAAAGGAGGACTGAAACACTATACAGCACAGCAGAGGACAAAGACACTGGACCAGGATGGGTGAAACTACAGCTATCCTTGAGACTCAGTTACATAAGTGTAGGTTTAGTGTAATGTACTTTATACAGCACACAAAATTGCTTCAGTGTTAATTTTGAGCCATCATTTTTACCATTATATTTTGTTATGCAGTTAAACAAATGTAAAATGAATAAGCCAACACATATAGCATAGCAATAGAAAGGGTGGTGTTCACATATATTACAGAGGGGTCTCAAGCAGAGAATGCAGTTTAACCACCTTTGTAAAGGTTCAAACATATTTCAATTCCAGTTCACCAAAAATCTTTTTTTTAGCACGATCTGTTGCATTTACAGCATGCAGATGATATTAATGTCAGTGGTATTTTGGATGTAGATTCACAAATCACAGGGATCATTTCTCCTAAAATACTGCAATTATTGATGTCATGTGATCCTTTGTTTAATGTAATATTAATATTCAAGGATGTTAAGGAGCCCAGCTTAGACTTTGCACTGGGGAAGCTGCAAGTGGATGGAGAGGAAAAAGTAGTAAATTTGCAATGCTGGAGCAAAGGAAAAACAGTTACACCTGGCCTCCAAGTAAAGGGCTAAAAACAACTAGTAAAATTTATACAAGTGAGGCATTTCACCTTTTGGAAAAAGAAAAAAAAAAATTGTCCATCCAGTCCTCAGATTTACACTACCCAACTAGACTGTGCAGTACAGGTGGTGACCTCAATTTTCTCTAATGCAGTTAAGAAAGCCAGCTTGGTCACCCTCTTGCTCCCAACCTGTGACTGGTTATCAAAAAAGCAGAAGCAGGTTGATGAGCTCATCCCTCCGCTCTCTCAAAATGTCAGCATGTTCCTTGTTCCATGCTATTTGTATGCAGCTCACTGTCTTGGTTCCTCATGATGCCCCTTTCTGCCCCATAATGAGCTTTGTTGCTAGTAGGGATGCACAGATACCAGTTTTTCGGTATCAAGTACAAATAACGATATATTTATTTTTGATACCCGCAGATACCGAATACCAATACCGGAAGACCCATTTAAAGGAAGCTACGCGGCATGTAACGACTCACTGACTCGCTTCCCGATTGGCCGGGAAGCCTTTTCCATGCTCCCTCATCACCAGGTGACGAGGAAGCATGAAACCGGCTTTCTGGCCAATAGGGAAGCCGGGGGGGGGGGAAACGACTCGCCGCCTGGCATCCTGATACCGGTATCTGGGATCAGTAGAAGTTCCGGTATAGGGATAAGCACCGGGAGCATTTGGGAGAGTAAGAGTACTTGCCCAAATACTCAGTATTGGCACCGATACTAGTCTCAGTATCAATACATCCCTAGATGCTAGCAAGACAAGTTAAGGTCCTTACACTGGCTGCACTGAAATATGCGTTTATAAATGTTTAAGGACTACACAACTGCATTCATTATGTTTTCAATATCTTTCTGAAGTTTACCTTCAAATTAAGAATAGGAAAATGAGAATGTTGCAGAGTTTTCTACCATCTCTTACATAAATCAGAACAAATGCTGGAGACACTTTATAACAATACTTCACATACTAGAGATAAAATAGGAGCATGTCTTACTGGGGCACCACCGACACGACATGAAACAAGAATTGGAACTCTCACCTTGAGCTGTTCCTCAGATACAACCAGCAATTGATGGCTTCCCTGCATGTCCGGGCTTTTTGAGAGATCATGAGCAGCTTCAAGAGGTTCCGGTAGGGGAACACTGTGACCATCCAGAATTAGGATGCCCACCACGGGTGCTCTGTGCATAAGCTGGATTTCCTTGGCTGAGAAAAAAAAATATTAAAGAAAAAACAAAGTTTCAGTTCAGGACACATTGCACAACGTGAGGGCAGGTTTGGCAGTCCTTTACATCTGTGTGATGAAAACAAGTACACAAACCGAATCATAGAAGCGATCTGGCACCAGCTGAGTTGCTAGAATCGCTTCTGCTTTAAGGCCCCATTCACACTGAGCGATTTATCGCACGGTAATTCCCGCCATATCGCTCGCCAATGCATTGCAATAGGGCTCTGTCTGTCACTGTCGCGGGTCGTACGTCGCTACAGCAGGACCCTTTTTGGAGCGGATTTTGCAGCGAATCTAGCTTGCTCAATGAAAGCATTTGCGCGATATCGCGCAAAATGCAAATCGTGCGACAAACGCGCGATTTGCGAATCGCTCAATGTGAATGGGGCCTAAAGCTGGCCGCTGGCTCTACAAAGCTAAAAGCCGCCAGGAGTCTGTTTAACCCCTTGAGGATTCATGACTGGATTTAATGAAGGGGTTAAGCAGTCCTATAAAACTGAACAGTTCTTATAGGCTGTTAATTAGGGATGCACAGATACCAGTTTATCGGTATCTAGTACCCATAATTTTTTTTACGGTACTCGCCGATAATGGATACAGATACCGGAAGTCCCATTAAGGAAGACGAGCGGCGTGTAATGACTCGCCGTCCGGCTTCCCGCTTAGCCAGGAAGCAGTCTCCAAGCTCCCTCGTCACCAGGTGACGAGGAAGCATGGAGCCGGCTTTCTGGCCAATCAGGATGCCAGGGGGCGGGTAATGACTCGCCGCCTGGCTCCCCGATTTGCGAGCTTCACATCCAATCAGGAAGCTGACCAGCGAGTCATTACATGCTGCCACATGGATCTAAACTGCTCAGGTGTGAACAAGCCCTCAGAGTGCACAGTAACTCCTATGAGAACCTAATGCAAGACATATTGATTAAACCACACTTACCCTGAGCTGCAGATACTGCCTCCTCCATTCGTCGCTCAACTGGAGGCACACGTAAAGAAAATGCATAAACTGTACCACCGTTTGTACCAGCCCATAAAGAAGGACAAGACCGAGAACCTGGAAAAGTAAAGTCACAAAATGTTAGCTACAGCCTAAATAAATTACCATTTGCAATAAAGTTAAATTTGTTTTGAAGCTCATGTCAAACTTAACTATGAACTTTCCCTTTTTGCTCCCTTTGTTGAATATACTATTAACAGAGGTTTTATTTTTTTATGGTTTAGAAGTGCAATACCTATTTAGAATGTTAGGAATTCAGAGCCGTCATGTGTCTTGTGCACAATTATTGTGTTTTCTCAAGAAGCCTAATCAACCCACCCAGTTATCTTGTGAAGATGAGGAGAGGGCAAGGGATTCGGTAGCTTACCTGAAGACAATTGGGGAGGGCTGACAACTTTTTTTTTCAAAGCTAAAGTAGGACCCAAGTGCATTTTTGGCAGTTCAAAGGGTATTTTCTGCACTTGGAGGGTTTTAAAGGGATTAAACATGGATAATGTGCATGCCTTGCAGAAAAATTAGAGAAATATATATACATATACATATATATATATACATACATACATCCCATTCAGGAAGCCAGGTGGCGTGTAATGACTCGCCACCTGGCTTCCTTATTAGCCGGGAAGCGTGTAAAGCCTTCCTCCGGTACCAAGCCGGAGCAGTCTGGCCAATCAGGAAGGCGGGAGCTTCCTGATTGGCGAGAGATCATGGAGCCTCTTCCTGGCCAAATCAGGAAACCGGGCAGCGTGCATCGGGCTAGGCATTGGAGCATTTGGGCAAGGTGTGTGTGTCTCTATATATAGATATATCTATCTATATCGATCGATCTATCTATCTAACAATATCATGGCAAGTTCACCTCCTGTGTATACCTATCATGGTTGGTGGGTCTTGAAGTGAAAAGGCAAAATACACCAGCCATACTGCCAAAGATTACAACTTTTACCATACATTCTTCTATATACAGTCTCACTTATTAGAGGACAGGAGGGTTTATTCACATGTTAAGAGTACACAGACGATAAAGGTAACCAGGACAGAATTCATTCTGTTGTATTAATAAAAAACCATTGACAGATTACTGTTGCTTCCTATAACATACGTTGACACCTGGACTTCTTGCAGCATGGAGCCTGCAGCACTCCCGCTCTCTCTATTGCCTAAAGAGGAACACTTGTGAGATTCACGCACTCTTATTTAGACAAAATCTGTTCTTTCACACACGGTGAGACAGTGGGATTGTACAAGCACAGACACCCTATTTCTTTGGCTAGCAATAGTGTAGTTGTCCTTAAAACTTGCAGCAGCTTTCTAATGACAGTATAAAGTAAGCATAAATGTCAAATGGAAATATTAAACACATGAAGCCACAGGCTTCTTAACCAGCAGTGACAATGCTGATAGCCGCTCACCTTGCAACATCTTCTCGTCCCACTGTAGTCCAAGCAGGCAGAGACGACATAAGGGTGACAACACTGCTCTGAAATCAGGAGCAATGCAGCAGCATTGTCACCCCATCACTGGAAGCTGCATGAGGTAGACTAAGCTAGCAGGTTTAACGGGAATTTGTGAGACTTTGCAGTGGGACCAAAAGCAGATGCAATTGCAATTACGTGCCACAGCACTTAATGGGAGGCACTAGTTCTACTTTAAGTGGAAAAAATCTGCTCCGTTTTCCAAATGATTTATACAAACTTTTGTCATAACAAAAAGCATTAATTCCCTTTGCTGTGATCATTTAAACACGCCCATGGTGCAGCCAACAGCCTTCAGAAATCACATGATTGGCTGAATAGGGTCTACACAAGTTCCAGAGGTGTCACATGACCTCAAATTGAACAACAGTTTCTGGGAGGGCCCTAGAGTGTTATAAAGTATATGTCTAAACAAAACAGAATCAGAAAGACCAAGCTGTCTCACATTCCGTACCTCTGCCGGTATGGGTGTGCTATCTGTACCCCATACTGCAATCTAGCGCAGCCCTGTGCCATGGATTTTGAATTTCGCTTGAAAACTGGGTGCGTTCATTGGTCAGTGTGGTTACCTGACCACGCTGAGCAATGAGAAGCACTTCTTAGCACAGTCAAATACGGTTTTGGTTAAAATGATTTTTTTGTATCACGACAAGTAGATTGCCACGAGGGACAAGAAGATTGGGCCCCCACTTTTGTCTACTGACAAGTAGTTTAAGAAAATGTCCACAGCCCTGGTATTTCTGTGTAATGAAAATCCAAACAAGATTTCATTATTTTTCAACATTATGAATGTCAAAAAAATGAGAATTATAACTTACCAAATTCATGTATATTACATTACACAATGTACATTATGTTTCATGAAACACTTAAATGTTTACAAAAAAAACATAACTTACTGTCACGGAGAAAAGTATCTGCAAAATATAGAATGCGAACAAATCCAGTGAAGGAATCCTCCGCTGATCGAGCTTCAATTCTACGTTGTACAGGGGCCAATTCCATCTCATGCAACGCCTCCTGTTCAAACCGGGCATTTGCTTCCTGCACCTGACACCAGACAGAAGAGTGTCACACTTTTATAGAAACTGCTGATCAATATCCAGCAAAGATTCACTTTCAAAAATACAGAGTAATTTCTCACTTTGGTAGCAGTTCCTTCCCTTCGTTTATTGACTTGACTTCTTCTTATACGCCTAAAGGACTGGCGCAGGGACTTTTTCAGCGACTTCACTCGGGACAGAGGACCTTCTAGTGCTAGCTGGTCACTGGCATGCAGTGTACACCTGTAAAGTTCAGTGTGAAGCTTAGAGCAATATCATACCACAAAAGGTTAACATCTTAAAGTGCATGTCTTGCAAAAACCTTGTTTTAGTTTTGGATAAAGTTGGGAATGGTTAGAGCCCCTGATGGGTTTTTTGTTGTTGTCTTGTTACCCCTCCAATTGGGGAACTTCCCCTCACTTTCTGCCCTGGAAGTACAACTGGAATTGAAAGCAAATCTCACCTAAATGTGAGGTCAAATCCTCTCTTGGAAGTCTCTAGTAAGTTGTAGTAATTGGTGTCTTCATTGGAAGATTCCCTCTCACCTCCTGTTCCAGTAACAACAATTTTAGATCTTCCATCACTTTCTGTTCTAGTGACAAAGGGCACTAGAACAAAAAGTGGTGACACCTGACAGGCTCTAACCGTTCCCTTCTAAATCAGATCAAAGGAAAAGTTCTGTCTTGACACTAAACTCCGGAGTTAAGTCTTAAAAATGCATTCAAATAACATAATGATTAACAAAAACGTAGAATATTTGTATATCACTCGGCTGTAGACCCTCAAATCATCTCTGAATTGGTGCTGACCCTGTCCTTCCTTCTGGAGGGTGGCTACTTTTGTTCCCCATGGTTCCTGTGTGTGTTGTAGTCACCTCTCCAAGTTCACTCCCATGACAGACTACAATCCAAATACAAATTAGTAAACTAAACATGACATTGTAGCCCATCACAGGAGCGATCTTGGAGCAGTGGCTATGTCACAACACACACAGGGACCACAGGGAACAAAAGTAGCCCCCCTCCAGAAGGACAGTGTCAGCACCAATTCAGAGATGATTTGAGGACCTACAGCTGACTAATACACAAATAAGATACATTTTCGTTAATAGTTAATGTACTTGAATGTATTTTTAAGATATAATTTCTGAGTTTAGTGTCACTGAGCAAACCCTCTTTAAAATTCACGAAAATCTTCAGGACAAGTCAGCATGACAAAAACCACATTATTTAGCAGAAGTTTTTTTCGCCATGAATAAATATAAGAAAAATCCTTCTATAACATTGATCAATGTATGGTTAAAACTTCTCTCAATGCCCCATCCTTCCAACCATTTGTCCTAGCAAGTTTTACATGACCTTCAGAATACTTACAGAATTACTAAAGTTGAAAAGTAGTTTTACTCACAATTGTTCAAAGGAGTAAAGCAAACTCAGAATGTGACCATAACTATTCATAATTAATTTGGGCAGTTTCCAAGTCAAAATTTCAAGGGATCCAGACTTTACAAATCGAATAAATTAGAGAAGGCTCAGGTAGGAAAAGGGACACAACGTGGTTGTTTTACTGAAGTAGAGCATGTTCACTTTGCAAAGTCAACTTTCACTTCTTGAATGAGGTGTAGCTAAGTGAAAATCCACTTTGCAAAGAATGGCATACAATCATGCTCATGCTACATGATTGGGTGGATGAAGTCAGTAAAAATTCACCTCATTCAATACTTCTTGCCAAGTCAACAAACTCTACCCCCCTCCCCCCCACTTTACTAAAGTCAACCCTAATGCCTGCTATAGCCACATTATATAGGTGTGGAAATATAGAAAGATCTCACAATCCTTCTGTCTTCAGTTACCAATGCAACCTAAAATGGCCAGTACAGACCTCCTTCCCAATATGCTTTATACCATTTTAGACTTTAGGGGTTTATTTTAAATGTAAGGGTTGGTCTGAAAAATAAATATTATTTATTATTATTAATAAGGGCAAAAGAAAACTGGGCCAAAGGACCAGCTGCTACCCTCAGTACTTACTTCACCATCACTTGACGTCGCTGCTGGAAATCGTACACTCCTAATCCGTGACTGGTACCAAAGGCCAGCAGCCTCCATTCAGAATGTAGTGTTAGAGATGTAACAGCAGCTGGTGGCTGGCACTGTACCAGTGAGAAGGGCTGAAATCCAGGAGGGAAGCGCACTGGGTCCTCTCGAGCATGAAGGCGCTCATGCCCTTTCCAGCGATAGCCTTCTTGTTCTTGTAACAAGTCCACCACTGTCTGCTCCACCACTTGCTGTGCAGCCTCATCATTTAGCTCCAGAACGAGAACCTGTAGTGTGAGGAGGCCAAAACCAGCCAAGAGATTATGACAAGTAAATAAGAGGTGGAAATCAAGATAAGAGCACAGCTACTTTGCAGTTTGTGTTCCTGTTGGGGAGACCCCACTTCCTATTTCGTGACTGTAATAGGAAGTGAGGTGAAAACTTCAACAGGAACAAGAGCGGCAGTTAAAACATGACAGTATGTTTTACCCCTTTCCACGTCCAACAAAACAAATGTTTTAGCTGGAGAGGAGGAGCAGAAATTGATAGGATGTTTGCTATACTTGGAACACTGAAACCAAGTCTCATGGCAAATTGTGGAAGAGATGGGACCTAGTGATGGCCTGCACCCACAGCTGATACAAGCAGCCAAGGACCCTCGAGCAGTGCCACTTTGACTCTAATGTCTTAGCTTAAGTTGCACTTTAAATTTCCATAACAAAACCAAAATGTGAAAACCTCTCCTCAGAATCTGATTCTCTTTAATTTTTAGTAGTTAGATAACTACATATTTATAATCTAATGTTCTGGTAATTAAAATCGCTTATTAATCTCTGACCTGTCCAGCAGTTCCTGCAACTGATAAGTAGCCACTGAATTTACACAGGTAAATTTTCTGTATTCCCAGACGAGGATCATCGCTGTATGGGTCAAAAGAGCCAACCTGAGAAGGACCAAAAAAAGAGAAACAATTAGAAGGATTATCACTGAGCCCACGTATCAGAGGAAAATGTGGGTTAAGAGAAACAGAAAAGTAAATGAAAAGCTAGGCACTTACTTTCCTTAATGGGGGCCACTCATCCTCCCCATGGGAATTCAGGTTGTCGTTGGGGTCAGAGTCAGTCTGAAAAACTCCAACTGTGCTCATCTTGTACAATAGCTGGAGGCAAACACCAGATGCATCCCAGAAACGCACAGTACCATCTTCATGTCTAAGCAGAGAAAAAATGGCAGATTGAAAAAGCTAAAAATTCAATATGTTCCTATAGACATAGCATAGCTTAAAACGAAAAAAACATGTTCTTGTCTTTTAGATAGATCTTTGTGTAGCAGGTCTTTGGGCAGACTGTAAGTTTCTCTCAACAATTTCAAATTGACCGGAAACTCTACTGCCCTCATGGCTAGACTAGGGACACTCTGAGTTTCCTCTCATTAACATACAATGCTTATAGTTTTTTGCTCCATGTTAGAACAAATACGTGTTCAAATCTAGTTTACAACTGATCACAAAATCTGCCAACACAGGATAGTCAGTGTTAATTATGGCAAATAGGTATGCACCAATAAAGTTTTTTCGGTATCGAGTAGCAATATTTTTTCCGGTACTCGCCGATACCAGAAGTCCCAATCAGGAAGACTAGCGGTGAGCCATTACATGCTGCCCAGCTTTCTGATTGGCCGGGAAGCAGGCTCCCTAGTGACAAGGGAGCATGAAGCCGGCTTCCCAATCAATCAGGAAGCTGGGCAGCGTGTAATGACACTCCGCCCTGCTTAATGATAGCGGAAGTTCCAGTATCAGAATCATCTGGAGTATTTGAGCGAGTACTCGCCCAAATACTCTTATCAGCACCAATACTAGCATCGGTATCGGTGCATCCTAATGGCCAAAATAACTCCCCCACCTCTTTTCACTCCACAGGAAAATTCAGCTTAGAGAAAAAAACAATTCCTTCAGGAAAGAGCAAGTAATATGTAACCAGCATTTTTTGTTTTGGGTAATAGGTGTTACTCCAGTTTGGCAGCAAAAGTAGACATACATTAAAAATCAAAATGCTCCTCTTGAGCGGGAAAGCACAATACTGCCAATGATAAAAGAGACCCTTTTATAAACTCTAAGCACAGAAAAAAAATATGTTGATGATGTTTTTCCTTTCCATAAAGTTTTTCATGTACTTACAATGTGCCTTTGAACTTTTGTCTCTTCTTGAAGTGTCCGATTACCCTCTGTGTTGGATTAATTCCTCCACCCTTCCCCTCACCTCCCTACATGACACCTTTTTATGTAGCTGCAGGAGGAGGAATGGGAAATACTATAAAGTGCCACTTGAGCGACAGCTCTGAGAACTTTGGGGATGCAGACTTCACATGGTAGCGCCTAGCAGCAGTCTCAGGGCTTTTAGATGTTTACACAAGGCAGTCTTTTATAGGTAAAGAACACGCAGAAAATGTTTTTATATGCACATATATCAGAATCAATTAAACTCTAAATGCGCCAAAGCCACCCCTGCAATAGGGAGCCAATAGCATACAATAAGGTGTAGACTTTGCATCCTCCAGCCAAAGAACAACCACCATGTCACGTTCGACAGACAGTGCCACTTGAGGAACCCGAAGCTTGAAATGATTAGGATTGTGCTGCAACCGCATACCCCGTGGTTATGGCATGGTACATCAATAGAAAATCCCATTGGGGGAAAATAACAAAAAAACACAACGACATTCAGGAGGTGGTACTATCGTCTCCATCCTCTGAAAAGCATCATCAATATTCTAATGTTTAATAAAACAGGCACCAGAATAACTATTTTATAATCTGGTTATAAGCGATATGAAATTATAAGATGTGTACATGCAACGCATACTCACCCTGTTAGCAGCAAATCCCTTTGAGGTGGAGCTGGGGTCAAATACACACCTCCATCGATTGGCCATGGCTGCAGTGAAAGGATAGAATTAATTTTTCCTGTAACTTAAATACAACTTAAAGAAGATTTACAGTCTACCCTAAAAAATTGCTTTGTTCTAGGTCAGACCACATGACCCACATGTCACATGTTCCCTGACCAAACAGACAGAGACATCCGATCATCAGGGCATATTGAACCTTGCAACCTATGCCACAACACTGGATACCAGACACGGCTCCAGATGTGATTAGAGAAGCAGAGACCTTTTACAAAACATTTCGCCTCTATTACACATGCAACTTGTGTGGGTTTAAAGGAACCCTATCATGATATAGAAAAGCTGAACTCTCCTGAAAATTCTAGTTACTTGCCACTCTGATTCAATCATTTTTGATGCCCTTACCCACAAGAAATAAGCAACTCAAAGGTTTCTGAATTCAGAAGCATTATATCCAGAAACAAACAGGCAAATAGCATTTTGAAAAGAAGCAAAAGCAGCCCCTTGTTTTGACAGATTCTATTTCATACACCAAAGTAATTGAGAGAAATGTAAGAGTTCAGCAGGTTAAAATTCAGCAGAACAATTTATAATAGTCTCCTATTAGTAAACTGTAAGAATGATCATTAAATGTAAAACAGTGTACTTGGTCACCAGCTAATACTGTGATCACTTTACATAAACGGGTGTAAAAAATGCAAGTAGAATAATCCTTACCACGGTAGAGTAATGAGTGTTCTGTTTCCTGCCTGCACTGATTATCCTTTCCCATAGTTTCAGTGGAATAGAAGAGATATGATAGGAACAGGTAATCGCTGAGCAGTGTAGTGACACAAGGTAAGGGCACTGTATTACTGGCCAGCCAGCTGTCTGTAGATCAATGGCCACCAGCTCCTCCTCTGCAAGTACCAGGAGGGCACGAGGATCATCATATTCTACAAAAGAATATAAGTTATTACATCACTAGGCACCATTGCATTAAGCCAGAACATTTCTTTACTTCCAGTAAGAGGACAAAAATTTAACCGTGAGGATTGTGAAGAATTACTCAGACAAAAGCAGAAATTATATACAAATATGGATGGCCTTATGTCTACAAAATCAACTCAAAAAGTACTCTCAGATAAAATTGTCATCAAGTGACTTTTGAAAAGTATTATTGCAGAAGATCATTTGCAGGAACTTTGTTCTCCGATATCAGGACATTCCAGCTTAGTACTGTCAAACCGGCAAAAGGCAAGCATGAGACATTAGTATGGTCTCTGATACAACAGAAAATGCAAGGGAAAGTTTGGTCTGTAGTAATAAGTTACATTCAGGGAATGGATATTACAGGTCACACAGTACGTTTAGGAAAGACCAAAAATTATAAATGCTCCCACTTGCCTGTAGCAAACAGATCTGTGCAAGTTTAGTGTCAACCAAATTAAAGTAGTATTAAACCTTTCTCCGTTTTTGGCGTTATCACATTCATGTCTATGTAGCAAACTTATACTCTAAAGTGTTTTCTAAAAATACTTCCCCAGTCACTATTTGATATCCAAAGGCCACTACCCCCAAACTTACAGTCCGGTGGGTGTACACTGTAAATCTCACATGAATGCCCATGGTTGGACTGCAAGTCCCATCTTCCTTTGCACCATTAACACAAGGCGCATGTGTGTGCGAGTAGTGGTCTCTCCATACACAGCTGCCAGTCAATTCCTGCAGGAGGAGTTTGTGATTGAGCAACTCATGGGGTTCTGAGCTGAGTGGGAGGGTGCAGAAAAGTGTTGGCATCTCAAGCCACTATGCCATGTGGGAATGCACTTGTAAGGGTGGCTCAAAGGGACCCTGCAATGGAACAGAGCCACCCTAAAAACGGAAGAGTTGACTAGGGAGATTTAGATTGTAAACTGCATAAAATCACAGGAGGAAAACATAACAAAAACAGCAAACATACCAAGTATAGATATATACTGTTATTTAAATGGAGGGTTTAAGAACACTATAATCTCCAATTCCCTTATCCTAATATAGTAAACCAGAAAACCACCAGCTGCTTTTCAACAATCTTCCCTTCTAGTTATAGCAATTTTCATAAAGTCTTTCAGACAGTAAATTACAGGCCTTAATGAGTAGGAGATTAACCTTCATTACAGTGCATCAGCTTGGATCAATACCTTGAAATGTACTTCGTTCGAAGTATAATTCTTGCAACATTTCCTACCTCTAGGGAGCAACTATTTTCGAAGAATGGCGGAATGTCCGTCTAGCCAATTTCCAGGCAGCCGTAAATTAATAAAGGATTGCAATTAATTTACATCTGTATTTAAGAACCTGTCTTTTCATTCACTACCTGTAAATACGCTACACAGACTGCTACTAATTTAATCTCGGCTGTGTCCATTACTACATTCCTTATTTCTTGCCTTCTCACCTCTCCTGCAGCAGGGGTTCTTTTTAATGGGAGAACTCAAAGTGAGAAAAGTGATTTAGCAAGCTGGAACACTGTTTTCAAAGCTTTCTGCTCTGGTCATTTCAGAATTCATTGGGTTTGTTTTAATGTTACGGGCGTTTTGTTAAATGCCTTTGTAGCTTTTAGGGTATTCATTACTAAGAACTTCCAGACACCCACTGTGGGCACTCTTCTCAATATCTGCAAGCTTTAGTAAAGCCAAGAGAAAAAAAAAATACTAGGTGTAGGTTCTTTTAGTAGTAGACATTTCCAACTAGTGCTGGGTCTCTATACTGCTTCACCTAACAATCCTGCCCCTTGGCTTGCACGCAACCTACTTCCACATACACGTGTCTATATTGTCATTCTTGGTCAGGGTGTTCTCAGTCGCTATTTCGAACTTGGATATAAAACCAAGTGGTGACCGACTCCAAACAAGTCCATGACCCAATTTGGGTCCCTACCCATAGTTTAAGAAGGGCTGCGTTTCAGGATGCGACAAAGATTACATAATTTTAGACAATCTAGCACAAAGCCGTACATCAAAAGCATCAAATCGGTACTATGATTGCTAATTAGAACAAATGGGAGAGCTCCAAGAGGACAGGGTTATGGTATTGAAAGTGAAGTTACCAACTGTTTTCAGGTTGTACATATTCTGCCCTCTATGGCAATCCTGTCAGGACACTTCTGCAAACAGTTCCAGGGTTTACTCACCAGCTGAAGGGTCTGGGTTGGTAATTACTATATGGTCAATTATCCTAGAAGTGAAGTCAAATGCCACTTGCTGACTGCCATTAACAACTGAGATGCTATGTCGGTCCCCATAGCTTGCCATTGGCATACCTCCTTGGAACACAATATATGGTGACCTGAGCAAACAAAATATACATTAAATCACAGCTTACATGAATGGAACTTTCATGCTTTTACTCAAAAGGATATGCACATAAGAACTAGTAAATTCAAAGCTTACGTCCTACGTGCCGTGAGCCAGGTTATTTTACCGATTGCCTTGCAGCGAAAGGGACCTGTGAAAAAAATATACAGAATATGTTCAATCCACATCTCCTGTTTAAGAATTGGGATTACATAGAGCTGTAATCAAGGATTTACCATATGGCACTTTACTCTCCATAGGAGACTGTTGGATGCTCTCCCCAGTAGCATCCCACTGATTGTACGCTCCATCATTATGACAACTTATTATTTGCTGTGCATCCCGGCACCAGAAGACATTTTCCAGTTGCTAAAAAGCAAACGAGAAAAACGGTATGAAAATAAGTTCAACCAGTTACAAGGTAAAGATTACAAACAGAAAACCAAGTAATAAGATGGTACCTGTGGAAGCATTTTTACAGTGCTAGACAATAAATCTCACTTAAAGCCCAAACTTCAGCCAAAACTTTATTTTAATTCTTGGACAGCAGGTTAAGGATAGAAGTGCTGTCAGGTTTCTACTGCAGTCTGTGACCTAAGTCGATCATTTTCCTTTCTCTCAGAACAGGAAGTGTTCCTTTTTTCTAAGGTTCATTGATGGTTCATTGATGGACACAGTGTGCTTAATACTGACAGTTGGGTTATACCGCCATCTGCATAAGACACTACGTACTAAACAAAAGCTCAGGAAAAAGAAAGGATGGATGACATTACCAAGAATATAGTAAATTACACAGAGCGTTGGGAGTGGTGTCCCTTAACCTCTTGCCGTCCGCCGCAGTAAAAAAACGGACGGACGGCACTGCTGCAATTTGTTTCTGCTCGCGAGCACGCACGGGCAGAAAAGACCCGACCATTGCACACACCAGTTACCGGGTGTTTCACATATAGGCGATCAGCGGGTCCATAGCCCGCCGATCGCCTATATGTGCTCGACTGGATGGGAAGGGGGTTTAACACCGCGGATGTCAACTGGTTAATGGACACCAAAAAAAGGATTTTATGGCAAGTACATAAATCCAATTTTTAATTCCCCCCCTTTCCCTGGATGGTCTCAACCACACTCATCCAGTATGTCAAATCTTATAGTACTCCAGAGAATGGCCAAATCTGCCTCAGGGGCCTCTCCCCATTTCAGAGGGCTGAAGTTGGGATTTCAGGACATATCTAGATATAGATCATTTCCATCAGTATAGGATTGTCTTTATAACATTTATTAAAAAAATCTCTGTCCAACACTGCACATTCTGCATTGTTTCCCAGCCATTTAATGTAAGCATTTGCACCAGCCCCTTAAAAATTACTGTATGTAATAAACAAAGTCCCTATTGTGTCCCACTTATTCCTTTACCTGTGTGCCCAGGAAATGCCGCACAATTAATCCAGTTGACGTATCCCATGCTATCATAAGGCCACGACTGTAGCCAACCAGAAGCTTATCAGGGTTCCTAGGGTGCTCCTGTAAGGCTTCCACTGACTCAAATGGACGTCTATTAGCATAATCATTTGGCAGACTGAGGCAAGAGAAGGATGAGAATTAGTCTTTATGTTGTCCGGACAAACTAAACCCATCAGCATGAGTTTCTCTGAACAATGCAAGAAAATATTTCCAGAACAGTAGAACTTACTCTTTCAATGCCGTATCGTGCTCAATTGTCTTTTCTTCTACTACTTGCAGGTTTGGTAAAGTGATGGCCAAAACACTGCCTCCCTCTGTACCAACATATAGTCTTTCACCAGAAGAGTGTGCTAGCAGCACTTTAATTTGTGTTATACTAGGAGGTGATCTGTGAAGAGAAAGAATATAGATCAAGCAACATTTTAGGGAAACTTCAGACAACAGTACAAATAAAGGTGTGTTTTGCCACAAGGATAATACTTCAGACCTGATGTATGTATGTATGTGTATGTGTATGTGTATGTGTATGTGTATGTGTATATATATATATATATATACATACATACATACATATATACATACACACTATATAGAAGACTGAACTGATTCAAAAAGTACAGGCTTTCAAGCAACACTAAATGTAAATTTAGTTTAAAGCAGCTATACTGTGAATAAAAAGAGGTTTTACTACCCACCCTGGAGGTCCACGAAGGGTAAACTTCTTCTCCTCGTGCAGCTCAGACACTCCATCATGCTGCTTGAAGGACCACAAGTGCAGGCTGTTGTCATCTAGTAATGTGACAATTTGGCACTAGAGAATTGTGAAAAGAAGCCGGTCAGCTTTCACAAATCCCAACACAAACAGAAATTAAACATGACAAAACGCTGTTGTAATATTTATGTTGCACAAATTATACTGTTGAATAGCTATGAATGTGAAACTATATTTTTTTTTCCAAGGCTGCAATTCATTCATATACGGCTGGTTATTCCATAAAAGCACAAACATAAGAAAAATAATCAGCACATCAACTATCAACAGGCTTTTCAAGTGATTCATGCCATTCATCTTGCCATCTCTAACTGTGCCTGTTGCCTAGTGGCTGTTGTAAGCTCTTTATTGCACCGTTGCACATGTCACAGCTCTTTAACAATCTTTAGATCAGACAGTACAAACACAAAATGACAATTCCAGCCAACTGGGAAAGAAGAGAAGAGATGAGGTCATTGTATCCAACCAAAATGCACACAGGCTGATGATCAGACTTTTAAAGGGCAAGTCAACTTTAGCAGAGTTTTCACAGCTGCTATCCAGGGATTGCTTGAGAGCTGTAACATGAGAAATGGAGCTAACGAGCTTTCAACAATTACTATACTGTGGGATATTATTGTTAGGCCATCCTAAGCATCTTGTCTTGACTTGTAATGCAACTGTAATGTCCTCCTTATATTGTAAAGCACTGCGTAAACTGTTGGTGCTATATAAATCCTGAATAATAATAATAAATAATATAGCACTGCTAGGCTGCATTCACACTAGCCTCCTGCGTTTGGGAGAAATCTGGGAAGTATAATCAAACTTATTGCTTCCCAAATCAAGTTCTCCTGCATTTAAAATATAAATATAGGTACCTGATCCTAGGTCCTGCCTAACTGCTAGACTGATCCCTGCAGCTTCTTCTCTTCTCCCCCGGGCTCAGGTGGTCTAAGGACTCGTGACATCATCATGCCCATTTACTTGCACTGGATGTAGTATGCCAAGGGACATTCAACAGCCAGAACTGAGAGGGAGAGAGGTAAGCGTTCAACGCTGTGGGACCAGGGAGCAGGCGAGTATCTTTTTTTTTTAGACCTAGACCATTTAGACCCCTAGACCAAAACAAGCAGTTAGCCCCGATGTTTAATATGCCCAGAGTTTTTTTTTTTTTAAATGAAGGTAAATGTACAATATGATTTAAAATAATGACATGCATTTATATGCATGTAGAACTTACTTGGTTGGGAACAAAGCTGATCTTGATCACTGCATTATTCTCATCATGCAAGCCCATGAACTCAACTCCAGGACAACCATAACTAAAAGGAAACTAGGTTAAGAAAATATTTGTTTTTAATTAGACTGCACATGCAGAATGTTGTCGCACACAGTCCCAAAGAGCCACACAATTAGGGAGTGCAGAATTTAACCGCAATTGAGATGACAATGAAGTGCAACTGCTGTCAACACAGCCAAATACATTACAAAACTTGCCATAAAAACATTTCTATCATGAATTCCTTCATACTGCATTATGCTACTCATATTAGATCAACGTCACAGACCAATTGTTCTATGTATTTATTGTAATTTTACCAAAGGAGAACAAAAGATGTTTTGCTGTACTGCGATAGAACGGGCTTTTTTATATTGATAATCTGACAAATCAGATAGTCTTAAAATTATTTTGTATTTACTTTTAATGGAATTCTATAATCCTGAAATATTTAGACAGAAAATCATATATTAGTTTTTATTGCAAAGTGAATGCATGCTAAGGGGGTTAGGTCGCACAGCCGGTGAAGAGGAGAGGCTTCTTGGGATCAGTTGTCCAGCGAGGAAAAATGTAACAAAGTACTTCAGCCAATCTCATGCCCCCTATATGAGGACTAAAATCTGGGGGCATGAGGGGGTAATTATCCAGAACATCTTTACATTTTAAAGCAGTATTGGACCGTCATTTTTTTTTTTTCCAATCATGAATCTAGATCACACAATTGCCCAGTAAAGTATTTCTTAAAATTTTTACCCAGGCACTAACAGTCATCATGTTTCTGAAAACTGCCTCCAACTCTCTCCGCTCTGCTTTCCTGTACTTCCTGTCCAGTGCAAGATTACAAGGGACAGAGCAGCCTCCTGCAGATGTCAATCTACTAATTTGGTGATGGGAGGAGAGGGGAGCAGTGAGGATTGTTTTACCGTGTCTGTGTGTTAGTGGAGACGTACACAAAGGTGTCTCCATAGGACCCTGCAAGGTATATGAGCCACCCTAATGCAGAATTTCAGGGCCAGTGCTAAGACCAGCCGATTACAACAAATTATTAGAATAACATTCAAACTGTATGTGTATTATACTGTATATGTGTGCCTTTGTGTGTCCTTAAAGGGTGTCATTAAACTGGTTTATGAATTCTCCTATATAAGAGAGCATGACAGTATTTGTGCTGTAGGTCCTCAGAAACCCCGAGCACTGAAAGATCTTCTCTCCGATTTCTCAAATGGGATTGGGTCAACAATGATGGTACAGAGCTAATTGCATTCTGGGAAGAATCAGCAAAGTGAAAAGAACGCGAGATTTGGTGACTTTCTTTGATGGGAATCGCTGGCTACCCCCTCCGAGGTCAAGATCGAGAGAGAAGAGAGAGAGACGAGGTCGAGAGAGAAGAGAGAGAGACGAGGTCGAGAGAGAAGAGAGAGAGACGAGGTCGAGAGAGAAGAGAGAGAGACGAGGTCGAGAGAGAAGAGAGAGAGACGAGGTCGAGAGAGAAGAGAGAGAGACGAGGTCGAGAGAGAAGAGAGAGAGACGAGGTCGAGAGAGAAGAGAGAGAGACGAGGTCGAGAGAGAAGAGAGAGAGACGAGGTCGAGAGAGAAGAGAGAGAGACGAGGTCGAGAGAGAAGAGAGAGAGACGAGGTCGAAGTCGACAGAGAGAGAGAGAGAGGAGGTTGACAGAGAGAGAGAGA